ATAGCAGTGTTGTAAATGTAAACCAAGGGTTAAGATGTCGGATTTTACAGTGACTGATAAATACGAATGCACAGGCCACTGTATCCCCAACCTTACAACAGTATCACAATATACTGACTCGCAACCCTTGTATCATGATTAATCATGCCCTAAATTTTGAAACTACAGTTTTCATAAGTTGGTGGAAGTGAACAAGTATATTCTTAAGCCTATATTTGTTCAGATTTTGGCAAATTGACTCCATAAAAAAATGATCTATTAGTTGTTCTTGTTTGCAGTGTACCCATGGATGTACAGACAGCTACCATTGGACTACTGTGATAGTGAAGAAAATGTAAAAACATGGTGATTCAAGTTCTTCAGTTAGAAGGAGCGTCTTGATTGTAGTCGTCTGGATTGTATGCCTGTTTATTCGTGATGGACATCACAAAGATAAAGCACTTCTCTCGTCAACGTTGGCTTGAATGCTGAAGATATCAAAAGCCCCGGTACAGCGACTAAATGAACCCAGTAGTGAAACAGTTTTTTCAACTGCTGTTTCTAAGAAGAACCTAAAGGTTTTTTTAAAGTGATACTAGATCCTTCTGTCTGTGAGGATAAAACGCAGAATCACTAGATGCTGATTTCAGACAAACCCTGCTGCTACGGGCCATTTCATACACTTTTAGAGGAAACTAGGGTTTATTACCACATGGGTTTTATTATAGGGTTTATCATAGCTCTGGCAATCAGTTATGACAGTTATGACAACATCACCAAAAGTAATTGCTGGGATCTTGGAACACAAAGACATTGCTATGAATTGGTCCGACAGGGCAACAAACATGAGCCATTAGATGATCAGACAGGTTGTACCCAAACAGCTGATAATGCTTGTGTGGCTTTTTTCGTTATACTTGTATGTAGTATGTTTGCTTTCTGACAGGCGTTGAAGGAACCAATCAACTTGATTTAGGAGGTGTGTGTATCAGTCCGTCTGATTTAGATTTAAACTGGAGTAGGCCAAACCTCGCTGTGACTGGTCTTCTTAAAGACGCCCCTCCAGCACTCTGTGGCCCCAGCACAGGGCGCCCTAGGCTTTAAAAGTTAACTCCTATTAATCTCGTACCAAGCACCAGTGAAGGCAAAGGAGGTATTAGAAATTAATCAGAAGTTGCAAGATTTTCTAGTGTTGCTGAAGGGGCATACAAGCGCACCTAACTTTATAGAACAGCCAATAGGAACGCCTTGTCTCTGAAATGATCTGTGATTGGCCACAGTCTCCCGTCACAGACTAGATTTTACAAAGCCTGAAAACAGAGCCCAGAGGAGGTGCTAGGAAGTCTAGTTTTCTCTCATTGGCCTTTTCCACAAACAGGGAACCGGCTGCGTTTTGGTTCAAGCACCTAGTTTTGAACCATTCGGAGCATTTCAACTATAAATAGATTGGTTCAGAACCTGAAGAGTTTCCAGCTGGAGCCAAAAAATAACAGGTTTTCCTTGGGAACCAAAGTGATATTTTACTTTATTCTATAGGTCGTTGTGCGGCACCCTCTGTTGATGATGCATCCGATTCCTATGGTTCCACTTAAAATGGAACCAGTTCATGGAAAAAACACTTGAATCACAATATATTTAAAAGTTGATCCAGCTTTAACTTGACACATTGTATGTTCACTTTGCAGTAATGAATCAGAGCAGGACATTGCAGTGTCAGGAAAAAGGGAACCCATCTGAGTGAGAAGTAAAGACAAGTGGAGTGCTTAACAGACTGGAGCCCTTCCCAGCTCATAATGTGAGATGTTATTTAAAGGTTCAGTGTGTAACAATTAGGAGGATGTATTGCGAAATGCAATATAATATTCATAGGTATCGGTTTTCTTAGTGTATAAACACCTGAAAATAAGAATCATGTTAGAATGAACCATTTTTATCTACTGACGCAGCGGGTCACCTCCCATGGAGTCCGCCGTATTGAACCGCCATGTTTTGCGAGTTTCTGAGCCACCGTAGTTTCTCCTGCACACTTCACAGCCTGTTCTCATTCCCATTATCAAATACAGCAGTGTTCAGTTAATCACAATCTGCCACTAAATCCTAAACACTGGTCCTTTAATTATCTCATTATTATACTAATTTGTTTAAATACAAAATGTACCTGAGTGTTTTGTTTGCATCCAATTGATGACCTCTTCCTCATGACATCCACTGGTATCTTACGCTCTTTGTTCATTTTAGGATGTTATGAAAGTAAAAGCTTTAAAACATTAGAATAAAAGTTTTATGGTTTGCATGATTTAAAGGGACAGTTTACACTAAAAGATGTCCGTAGATATATCTGCCTTCTCTACTGCCGATATCTCCAAAACTTGGCAACTCACACTGGAACAATCTAGATAAATAAATAGCACTACAGTTAAGAGGGAGCAGATGTCTTTTGGATTTGAGGGTTAACTGTCCCTTTAATTCGTGCATTGCACCATCAGACAGACCTGGTCAGACTTTATAACAACTGTCTCATTCATAATGTTAGTAATTTATCAGATAATCCTGGTTATCACACAATCTCATGGAACTGGCACAGTCAGATAACCTGTGCTCTTTCAGTTTACTCTCCAAGCTTGTCTTTTACAGACGCATGGCAGACTGCCTGGACTCTCTCTGTATCTTATCCAGTGAAGTCCATAAAGACAGGCTGTTGCAGGAGCACAGTTGGGGAACTATACCTGCCGGTCATGAGCTGGCTCCTGGACGGGCTGCAGAGCGGCTGCACATAGTAATTCTCCAGTTTGACTCCCTGCGCTGCCAGCCGGTCCAGAGTCGGGGTCTTGATCTCTGAGCCGTGGTACCCAACATCCCGGAAGCCTTGGTCATCCACCAGGATAAAGACGATGTGCGGCTGAGAGCTCGGCTTGTGGAACTCATTCCCTCGGTTGCGCGACTCGGCGTGCCAGTTTTCCCACGACAACTGAACGCTCCACGTCTGAGACACGATGAAGCTGAGGAACAAAGTCACCGGGACCCACAGCAGGAACATGTTTCAGCCGGATTCAGGGCTCCAGGCGCGGTTACTGACGGCGTGTGCGGCCGGTAACGTGTTGCACATGTTCAGGGGGCGCAGCAGCACTCGGGGATCGGGTCCGCATCGCGTTCAGCACTCTCCTCCAACCACAGTCCACTGACAGCTTTGTCGGATTGTGGGAAAAGAAAATCAGAGGTGAATCCACGTGGAAAGCGAATGCATCTCCTGACAGCTGACTATTACAGCACACTTTGCACACTGCAAACCTGCACAAGTATAAAAACTAACTGTCCATTAAAAGCACACGGAGGTTTGCCTCATCCAACCTCACTGTGTGGTTTTCGTCAGAAGACGCGCAGAAGCTCCAGAGAACAGAGGGACAGTGAAGCAGCCGGTGCGGGGAGTCCACCGCAGATGTCCTCCATCCTGTCAGACAGCTGAGAGCTCACTGAGGACTGAACGCAAACGCTGGATGTCTTTCTGAGGAGGCAGGTCCATGTGTACGTCCTCTGCAGACCGCAGCACTACACTATGCAACGATGCGTTCAGGGGCACCTCGGAAACCTAGCTCCAGTGTTTTAGTTGGAGGCAGCAGCCGCTCATGTGGTCATCTGGATGCTGTTGATCAGCAGCTGTAATAAAGTCATTATTTATTAAATTCTACAATTAAAAACATTATATAACTTTTTTTTTTTTTTTGGTCACATTTTTTCTTCCAGGAGCCCCAACTGAGTCTACAATGTATGTTACTCCATGATTCTGTCACATTTAATCAGTGCAGGCAGTGCAGGGAATTAGATGCTGGATAAAAGGTGAAAAAAAGATAAAAAATTTCCCCCTAAGGCTCCACAGGGAACGATATGTACCGTAATTAATGTGCTGAGGTCACATTGGGGCTTTGTGGAGGCCAAATATGGAAATGAGTGTTAATTCCAAGTAAAATGCTGTCATATATTTCTGCACAGTATCCACCTTTTCATTCCGCAGCTTTCACCGCCAAACCTTCTTTTTCCCTTTTCCTGGGAAACCGTCAGAGGTGGGAGTGAGCCACACACGTGCAAGTCACAAGCAAGTCTCAAGTCTTCACTTTCAAGTCTCAAACAAGTCAAGTCCCTACTATAAGTCAGGCATGTCAAGACATACAAAATTCTGATCAGTTAAAAACAGTGAAGTCAGTTAAAAGACAGCGGCCATTTTCAGCATTAACGAAAGCTGTTGCAGCCTGCTTACACCTTATGAATCTTACTGATATATATCAATAGAGAATGGAGAGTGAAATCAGGAGGGAGAGATTCATTATGGCGACTTACTACTGCTAGTCACTTACTAAGGGCAACTTACCAGCACTTACACACAAAGGATGCCAAGCAGGTCGATGAGGTCATTCACACACAGCCCATTGCTCATGCCCATCACAAGGTGTCTGAAGAGACAAGATTCCTTCACAAGATTCCTTCTCAAGCAGCTCAAAATAACTTAATTCCAAATATATAAAATGCTCAAGATCTGTGCTGATGTAGGGAATTTAACAGGTGAGTTTATTTCAGGTGAAAAGCAGGCTGCATTTGATATTGCACTTCAACACACATACATACATTTCGTTCATTATTAAAACAGTATTTATTTTAGCCGGAACTAAGAGAAATAAAAATAAAATTAATATAATTACTGTAATCAGCCCATTAAATATCTACCAGTTAGTTTTTATATTCCATTTCTGCTAGTTGCCAAAGTCCAAGAAAAAATACAGATGAACTCCTCCTCAGTGGTGGCCATGGCCCTAAATCGTGACGATTTTAGGGGTTTACACTCTTAAAAGAGCTCTTTTTAAAAATACATTTGAAATATAATTATACATTATATTCCATATATTGAACTACAGGTCAACTTTGCAGGATCAGACACTAGCATGCTCATTCCAATGTCAGTACTCATCTTTATCACTGGTCATCAATCTTTAACACTGACCGGATGTGTCAGCACTGAACAGATGATTGGTTGAGTCTCATGATAGCTACTGTCTTTCCACAGAACTGACCTGTTTTCATTGTAGCTCCTTGGTGAGTAGAGCTATTTGTTTTTCTTTTCTGGATTTACACTCCTCATACCGGGCATTTGATTTATGTGTTGGCCCTGGAGAAAAGGCACATAAATTACAAAAACAGAGCAGGAGAGATATATTTCACATCCTCTGAGTTGAAATATAAGTGTGCGGGGGATGAGTGATGCGTAGAGCTAAGGTTGCAGGACAACCATTCTGCAAATTAGATTCTGAGACTGAGAAAAACCCACAGCACCAGGAAGCATCAAATAATTGCAACTTTACCTTCATTCACTTCCTTAATGATTCGACCACCATGATTGCAACTCTTTAGCAAATTATTTAATGATTTGGTCATGTTGATATGATAATGATATCACACTGAACATGAGGGCACGAAAAATCTCACGAAAGGAATTGAAGTGAGATGTTGCTACCATTTTCCATTTTTTTAAGCTCAAGCTTTAAGGTCAGATGAATCAACAAGTTTGCATAAGCATGCATGAGGCCTTTGCGCAAATATTGAAAAAGGTAAATTTAGCCGATGATGACTAGCATTAAACAGGCCTAGGTGTATAAAACAGGCTTCCTGAATTTCCATCTTTATCTCACACAGTGTGTTTGTTGACTCACAGGTGATGCAGTAGCAGTCTCTACCTGCTGCCCATATCAATACGATCATGGACTCTGTATAAAGAGGCCTGCTGTGAGCCACTGAATTGGGCAGGAGGTGTCTGGGGGCCTGTACAGTGCGCCTGTGAAAGACCCTCACATGCTGTAACTATCAAGGTCCTGGAAATGCATGCATGCACAACACACATGAACAAACACACCCAGCAACCCAGTGGTATTGAGACATGAATACATTTTTTGGTTGAAAAACAAAGTTGACAGATTGGAGCGTCCAGAGCAAACAGCTAGCAGGAGAGTGTCTCCAGCATGTCTACACATGTTACCAGAATGGGCATAAATTTATGAATGACTGCACTGCATGTTGGAATGAAACATGTTCAGTTCCTCCTACGTTTCTGGGACTGTAATTAAGTCAAATCCAATTCACAAAATGAGTCCTCAGCATTGTAGGAGAGGTACAATTCCTTAGTCATGCTATTGGGGGGGGGGGGATATCACTCAGAAACAGTTTGGCCCACTCTGAGACGTGACCTCGAGCTTTCTGACATCCTTAAGGAGCTACGTGATCTCATTATAAGTCACCACTCATCGCCACAGCCCAGTATTACGATGCGGTGGCACAGGATATGAAGGGCCTGGTTGGGATTTTGTGTGAGTGCGTGCCATCAAGCATAAAAACCCAGAGGCGCTCGGACCCAGCGGGTGCCAGGCCCCCTGTTTCCAAGAAATCCTTTGTTTTTTTGGACGGTTGGATTAAACAGTGGGAAAGTGCCCACGCAGACTGCTGCCAAATCCCCCACCACCACCACCCTCCACCCACACTCGCCACACATTGGCAAGACACTCTTGAGAGGTAATACTCTGGTCTCTATTGCATACCTGATAGTTATCCTCCACTGTAAATGCTTTATTGTTGGAAAGTATCTAGTAGGGTGGGTGGTGGGGGATACCCAGATTGTTTATGGATAGCCTAATTAAATTCCAGACATAATTGTCCAGAAGGAATCTCTTTTATG